ACAAATATCTTATGGTCATTTGCACTGACCATTTCAAAAAGCATCCCTTAAAACGGTCATTATAGAAAAATTTATGTTTCTATAATTTGTGGTTTATTTTTTTTGGATTTCTCTGCCTATCTGCAACAACTTTAATAATCATAATAATTACTATTAATAATAGTACATTATATACCTAGGTAGAGAAGTTGGTCATTATATACCGAGCGCTTTTATAAACCGGTTATAAATGCGTAAGGTATAATGACTTTCTCTACTGAGAGATATGTATAGAATTTTTTTTACTACTGCTAGTAGAAAATAAAATAGTACATTATATACCTAGGTAGAGAAGTTGTTCATTATATACCGAGCGCTTTTATAAACCGAGGCGCGTAGCGCCGAGGTTTATAATGCGTAAGGTATATAATGACTTTCTCTACCGTGGAATATATAGAATTTTTTTTACTACTGCTATAATAGAAAATAAAAAATAAGTTTGAAATCTGTGCTAAAATTATTTTTTATAGTTGGAAGTGCTGCCCTCTATCAACATCTATGGTAATTTCCTATGATACATACAGGAACTTGTTTTTTTGATCAAATTGACAGTTTGAAATTGAAATTAGATCAATAGAAACCTGTAACGTTATGACAATATCCTTGCGTCATGACGTCATTTTCATTATTGACCTAGGTTTTTTTTCATTATTTTCATTATTAACCTAGGGAGAGAAATTCAATTTTTTCCGAGAAAAATAGATTGAATAATGACTACTTCTCAGGTTAGTAGTAAAAAAAATAGGTTTGAAACCTGTGTTCAAATTATTTTTTTGTCGGAAGTGCTGCCCTCTATCAACAACTTACGGTAATTTCCAATATGTACATACAAGAACCCGCTTTTTTTAAAATTGACAGTTTAACACTGAAATTAAACCAATAGAAACCGACGTTATGACAATATCCTTGCGTCATGACGTCATTTTCATTATTGACCTAGGTATTTTTTCATTATTTTCATTATTAAACTAGGGAGAGAAATTCAATTTTTTCCCAGAAAAATTGATGGAATAATGACTACTTCTCAGGTTAATAGCAAAAAAAACTACTTTACACCCTGGTGCGTGACATTTTATGTCTTCTAAAAGGTGCGTTACGTAAGTACTTTACGCGCGGTAGTGGAAAATAGTATATTATATACCCAGGTAGAGAAGTTGGTCCTTATATACCGAGCGCTTTTATAAACCGATGCGCTCGCGCCGAGGTTTATAATGAGTGAGGTATATAATGACTTTCTCTACCGAGGAATATATAGAATTTTTTTTACTACTGCTAGTAGAAAATGAAAAATTTGTTTAAAATCTGTGCTCCAATTATTTTTTTTGAACGCCCTCTTGAAAGTGCTGCCCTCTATCAACAGCTTATGATAACTTCCTATGTATCTACAGAAACCTGTATTTTTTTTCAAATTGACGTATGGAAATGAAATTGAACCAATAAAAACATGACAATATCCTTGCGTCATGACGTCATTTTCATTATTAACCTAGGTATTTTTTCATTATTTTCATTATTCACCTAGGGAGAGAAATTCAATTTTTTCCTAGAAAAATAGATTGAATAATGACAATTTCTCAGGTTAGTAGTAAAAAAAAAACAATTATTGCGCCTTCACTTACAATCGGGAATGAGATGTTGTACCCATACTTATACAGGGTGGTTCATTTAAATTGAGACGTTTCAATATCTCGAAAATGGGGCCTTTTTTTAAAAAAATATCAATAATGTCATAAGTTCAATGGCCCACCCTGTATACCTATTGTATATCGTGTACTAGAAACTTAAAATTACCAATTTTTCATTGAATATGAAAATTTTGCGACTAAATAAAAGAAAAAGTAAAGTCAGTTTTTTTTTTAAAGATAATTCCCCAAGTCAAAAATTTAGTAACTATGTTGGCCATTGTTTTGCCAACATATTAGAGAGTTATTGGACGTGCAATAAGGACAAGCAGTATTTAAATTAGCTTTATTTTGACATCTACGCATGCGCATTTGGGTCCGAAAATAAGGATTCCCTTAATAAGGTTACTGCTTGTCTTTGTTTGTGTATGGTTAGTGCAAGGCACTAAACTTTCCTTATTTCAAATTCCTGACATTTTGGACGACTTTGACGTTTCGCTTTTGGACGATGACGAAATTTTTCTTAGAAAATTTATTTTTTACAATAGTTTTTCATTTTACTGTGAGTAACATCAAAAAATGGGTGTCAGCAGATAATCACAAACAAAAATAAACAACTGTCAAAATTATGAATTCAAAATAAGGTAATACTCTAGCACCTACTACAGTCTTCCAATAACTGTTTTTTTTTTGGAAAAATAGTGCTAATGCACTAATAAAATAACGTAGATCCTTAATACTGCGAGGCAGTATTTAGTTCCAATAACTCTCTAATGTCATTTTGACATTTATCTTTAAAACAAAAAAACAGACTTCAAAAATTCCGCTTCACCCCTTTGGGAACGAAAATAGAAAATTTCCTCAAAAAGGCAAAAAGTGGATAATTCCGTCAAGCTGGCAACACTGTGGCTGACTCGTTATCAAACGCAAGGATATCAACAAAGCATTTGATAGGTTGGATATAAGCCCCGCCCCTTTCCAATCAGATGCGAGTGATATCAGCAGGGCATTCAATTGGTTAGTTGAGCCCCGCCCCTTTCCGGGGTTTATGTATCGTCAAGGTATTTGATTGGTTGTTTCTTTTTCAACCCTTTTCTATGGCCTGGCCCACCTCCAGTGACTTAACCTTTTTAAATAGAAATTTGGTACCGCCGCTATATTCTTGCAAATTTTGAATATGAATATAGAAGTTAGCCACACCCCCGCTGCCATATTTTTGCAAATTTTTCTTTGTTTACTCAGGTATTATTATTAATATTATTATTTTCTAAGTATATATATTTATTTATTCTTTATTTTTCAATTTTTCCATTTCATATTTTGTCTATTCCCGGATCTTGAATTTTCGTTTTCTTCTTAATTTTTCTAATGGCCATTTCCACCAACTATTTTAGGAAAGCCCTAACAAGCTAACAATAGATATGCCTTAAACTGACATTTCTCCATGTAAAGTCATTTTAGGGAATACTTATCGTTAGGGCTCCCCTAAAATAGTTGGTGGAAACCAAGGATGATACACATTACTACTATAGAATGGCTTATCCTCATAAGGCCTGTGTGTAACAAATCCCCCCCTACCCCCTACACCAAACAACCACTTGTGACGTAAGCAGCATGGCGTTTCTCGCTTTAACGTAAACTGTTTGAACAGCTGACGACTTAGTTATGACGTCGGAAATGGTTGGAAACAGTTGAAAACCAATATGGCGGCGATTACCAAAAACGAAGCCGATGAGCACTCCTTAGAGTGTGTATTCTCCTTGGGTGGAAACGGCCATTATCACTTGTATATCAATTTCCACTCAATTTCCCTTGAATTTCTTATCTTTATTTCTCAATCAATCAAAACGAAAAAAAATAAATGTTTGTGTTTTCGATCAGTGATCACGTAACAGCGTGTGGTTTCTCGCCTTGACGTGGTGCCTGCACTAGTTGCAATCAGTGATTGCACCACAAATTAGATGTTTTCTTGCGTCTCAAAGTTTTGAAACATTTTCCAAAACTGGTTTAAATCAGTTTCACAATGACGTCATAATTACTCGGCACGAGGAAATGGTTGTAAAACGTGGATTAGATTGTCAATCGAAACGGTTTAGAACCATAGTACAATATTTAATATTCTAAAACAACCCTTGTTTAGATTTTATTTGCATCTTCCTCTTGTCTATTAAGTTCTCAAAATTAAATTATATTTTTCATCATACCATACATGTATATACTTAACTATGACTGCTGGCGTAAACCGCTAACGAGACCGTTGATGACGTCGGCAGCGGTGCAACACCATATGAACTTGATAGTAGTATGTAAAATCCTTGGTGTAGCCTAGCCGGGTTCAGAAATGCACGATGTTCAATGTCCAACGCTTTGTTTTTCAAAGTGTTAATTTTATTATAATACAACCACAAAAAGCTTAATTTATTAACGGAACTGAAAAATAGCGGTAAGAACCGATTAATTTATATCGGTTCCGGTTCTGCCTGTCCTACAACCATTTCTATGAATTATGGATTTCGTTCCGGTTCCGGTCCGCAAAAAAAAAAAAAACGGTTTCGTTCCGGTTTTGGTCCAATATTGTTCCGGTCCGAATCCCTGATTTTGTTATTGAATTCAGTTCAAATTAGTGCATATTTCTATTGGAACTTGGATTTTTGAAAGATTATTGATTTACAAGAAAAACTTTGATTAAATTACGTCAGTTGAATGCGTTCGTTGTAAATGCCATAAACTAAATCCTAACAAAAAGAAGAGAAGTGTAAATGCGCATGCGTTAAACCTCAAGTTGTCGTTCGATATTTTTGACGGCGTTGGCGTTCTTTTTCTCTTCGTCTACGTTCTCGCTGTGTCCTGCATCTACGTCGCAAAATCACAAAAAGAAAATACTCGTGCAAAAAGCAAAATCTACGAACTTCAGTCTACAGTCTACTGCTGCGAAAATTGGTAACTACTTCGTCTACAATACTACAAAATTCTCCGTTTAGCCTAATAATTAAACGTTTGCTGCGAATATCGTCAACACAAAAAATCAATAAAAATAGCTCCTTTAGAAAACCGACGCCCCAAGTCCGACATTTTGTTTTGCTCCTTCTTTCAGTTGCCAATTTTGCTGCACCGTCGTGTGATTTGCAGGCACAACAGAGTGTTATAAACCAACTACTAAAAAACCATCTCCAGTTATTTTTTATTCAATCATAAATTAGAAGCCATGCTTTGTACTTCTTCACACATCCATTTTCCAACAACAACAACAATCGCCAATAATATTCGCCAAACGCTATTTAATTTGCATGTTTCCAACGACAAATATCTCCGATTTTCACAGAATAACCTTCATCGACGATGAGCGACAGAGACAGGAGCTCCGACAGGGGCGCGCGTGTATACGTAGGAGGCCTAGAACACGGAGTGAAAAAAGAGGATCTCGAACAGGAATTCCAGAAATTCGGCAAACTCAACAACGTCTGGATAGCGCTCAACCCTCCAGGTTTCGCTTTCATCGAATTCGCTAACGAAACCGATGCGGAAGCTGCCTGCGACAGCCTCAACGGAATCGACTTTTTAGGTTCCAAACTTCGAGTCGAAATCGCCAAAGGTAGATCTAGAGGAGGCGGTCGAGGTGGTGGCGGCGGAGGCGGCTTCAGGGGTGGTCGAGGTGGTCGCGGAGGCGGCAGAGATGGCGGATTCCGCGACGGAGGTGGTTTCAGAGGTCGCGGTGGTGGCGGTGGAGGCGGAGGTTTCCGCGACGGCGGTAGACAAGGAGGCGGCGGCGGCGGCGGATTTAGGGGCGGCAGACGAGATGATGGGGATCGTTTCGGGGGCAGAGATTTTAACAGGAGGAGCGATTCGTTTGGTAGTGGAGGCGGTGGAAGGGGCGGAGGCGGACCGAAGAGGTTTGGCAGTGGCGGCGGACGAGGTGGCGGTTCCTACAGATCCAGATCGCCAATGGGTGGCCCTAGGCGTTAATTTTAAAGATTTTATTGCTTTTAGTTATTAAGGTGTTTAGGATTTAAGTTGTGATGTGTGCGGCCAATTTATTTCAATAGAATCTCTTCAAGTCATTTAAATTCGCATCCTAATTTTTGTAGTAAAAACTGATATTACTTTTGTAGGTAATAAGCTGTATAATATTTTATATCATTCTCTTTTGCTCAGAAATAAGGGTATTTGACTGGATTATGTTTTGTAATATTTTTTAGTCCTAATAAAGCTGTTTCAAAGTGAGTTTTCAATTTTCTAATAGATAGCTCTGTTTGCATTAGAAATCACAAACCAAAAATACTAAGTCTTTATAGACAATTTGCACCAATCAAAAACACTTCTACCTGACTAATTTCGTTTGTGATTTCTTGTGAGAATAGAATAGACCTTTAAAAGGTGAATGTCAGGGTCACAAACACAAAAAAAAGTGAAGGTTTTATTACGTCAGCTGACACTGACAAAGCATTTTAATTTTATCTCACTCTCGCTCAGCTGTTTCCTGTTCTAGCCATCTCTTTGCGTTTTTATAAGCAGAAATGAATAAAATCGGCTTATTTACATTTACAAGCAAACTACTAAAGAATTCCTCTAGCAATACGAGTCCAGTCGTTCAAAGATTGCTACAAACTTCCACTATAAACATGGTCAAGGTAAATTTTTCATTTTAGTAATTTTTATTGCATAACTCAAAAAAACATTGTCTTTTGCAGGTAGGCGATAACGTACCAAATGTAGATCTTTTCGAAGATTTGCCCACCAACAAGGTCAACCTTGCCGATTTGGCCAAAGGCAAAAAAATCATTGTTTTTGCTGTTCCTGGTGCTTTCACTCCTGGTTGCTCCAAAGTAATGATTACACATCAAAAAATCACATGTATTTAATGCATTATTTTCCAGACTCATTTACCAGGTTACGTTTCCAAAGCTGACGAACTAAAAAAACAAGGCATTGCGGAAATTGTTTGCGTCTCTGTAAATGATCCCTTTGTCATGGGTGCTTGGGCCAAAGACCAAGGGACAACAGGCAAAGTTAAACTTCTAGCTGACCCTTCTGCTGCTTTAGCTAAAGCCTTGGATTTGACTGTTGATATTGCACCACTGGGAGGCGTAAGTATTGAGTATATAATGTATACATATATATAATGTATATATATTTTCTAGATTCGTAGCAAGAGATACTCGATGGTGGTTGAAGATGGTAAGATAACTTCGCTCCAAGTGGAACCGGACGGCACTGGATTGTCCTGCTCATTGGCAGACAAAATTAAATTATAAGTTTGATTATTTTCTTCCAATTTGTGTTTGTTGTATGTTTTTTCATTTTTATTCGAAGAAGTTAAATAATTATAGAATAAATAATTCAACTATGTTGTTTTTATTCCATTCCAATGAAAAGTAATGGTTAGTTATTATATGTACCATCCTTGAGTTATACCAAAGACAATTACCTATATAAAATATACTTTTTCTTCCAAATTATGGAATTTGGCTCTAAGTTTCTAATTAATGGAGATTCATTCAGCAACGTTTAGTTTAGTTGTGATAACCATCAAAATCGTTTGTGAAAATTTAAAATGATGACTTGAATTTGTCAAAATAAAGAAAATTCAAGAGTCTGTATTGGGAAAACATGAATGCAGAGGCGTCGAGTCAGGAGCGAAGAATCAAGAGAAAAATCACGATGCGCAAAAGAAAATACATAACATATTGAAAAAAATACAATTTTTTTTTTCCCCACAAAGGAGATAATTGTTCTGGAAAAGTGAATGACCTTGAAATTTGCCAAAAATTTAGCCTGCGGCGCATTTACGAGGGGGAGCTCTTTGAACCAAGTACCATTTACCACCCCCAAACTGCTTGTCACGCGTCGCCACTGCATGAATGTCCTTTTATCCTCTATTTTTCAATTTTTGTCTATTCGTGGCTCTTGGAGATAGAGGAAATTCAAAAGCCGTACTGTTATAGTTATATCTACTATCCAGTGGCGGCTCATACATTTTCTGGGAGGGGTAATGGATGACGGGAAAATCATCAAGTGTCGCAACGTACCGCCGAAGGCGAAATTTTTTTTAGGGCCCACGCCCAAATTTGCACCCGAAAGTCGTTTAAAAAACACGCTTCGGACAAAAATGTATCCCGATGCCGTCAAAATAGTAACACCGGGTGTCCACCTAGTGCGATATCGTACGATATCTTCTTACAGGGTGATGCAAGAAAAAAAAAAAAAAAATTCGAAGTTGTTTGATTCTCTAATAAGGTGCATTACCTAAAAATATTTTTAAATATACAGGGTGTTCTGTAAATGGGGTATGCGACAAAACTTTGTTATTTTTAAATGGAACACCCTATATTTTAGTACATTCTATCATTCTAAAAATCCTACGTACTTTTTGTTAGGAATCATCTATACCAAAACTCAACCGTTTTTAAAATATTTAATATTTCTTCAAAAAATCGCAGCATGTGTCAACAAAAACCAACATATTTCATCAATTGGAGATCCTATAAGCTAAAGCTTTTGCAGGTTGTTAGTGCATAATGTCTGTCGATTTTTATCTGATACTCCAACGGAATTTGAGCTAGTGGCTCCCTACATTAGACCGCCAATGGTTACCTGACGTCACACCTGTTTTTGCCACATGAAATACCCCCTCGCTCGTCATACGGAAAGTGTCAGTTCAAAAACGACGGACTTTACTTACATTTACTTCATGGTCCTATGAAATCTATTTACATTTTACAGGGTGTTCGCAATACTGTACACAATAGGTACCAGACTTTTAATAGTATGTACACAAGGTTGTTTGAGAGAGGTAGGTTGCCTGATAGCTTCATGACGTCATCTGGGGTGCCTCAACATAATGCAAATCTGCATAAGGCACCCCAGATGCGTCATCAAGTTACCCATTACCAGAAAACCTATGAACTTTAAGAACCTCGGTAGGTACGTCGGTACTGGTGAACCTATTTGCTACTATCCACAATTAGTCCAAAGGTACAGGTAAATTTATCACCTTTCCCAATAACATTGAAAGCTGATACATTTTACCTCTACCTTTGGACTACAGATTGTGAATAGACAAATATCTATACCAACCAATGAACTATAACCAAAAACTGGAATGCGTACACATACATATATTGACGAACGCATAGACCCTTTTACACTTTACCGCACAGGTGTGGCGGTACGGGATGTTTCAAAAGTGGTTTTAAAGATGAAATTTATAAGAATTTTCAGTATCAATTTGGAAGAAATTTCATAATTCTATTTTTGGGCTTCATATTTATTTCAAATTTCATTTATACAGGGTGAGTAACAGCTATGACGTCGAAAATGGTAACTTGGTATCACACCAATATGGCGGCGATCCCCAAAAACGGGGCCGTACCAAATTTATTTAACCCTTCGACTTTACTATTAATTTTTTCTAAATTTTTACCCTTTATTTCTCAATTTTTCCAGTTCAATTTTTGTCTATTCCCGGCTCTTGGAGATAAAGAAAATTCAAAAGCCGTACTCTGTTATATCTATATACCTACCTAACAAATGCGGAAAGTGATACTTTACACGCACGCAGTCAAGCTGCTAGAGCGGTGCAGGATGTTTCAAAGGTGGTTTAAATATATGAATTTTATAAGAATTTTCAGCATCATCTTGGAAGAAAGTTCATAATTCTATATTTCTGAAACTTAGATTTATTTCAAATTTGATTTACATATTGAAAAAACTTTAATTAAATCCTGAAAGATTTGAGTCGCTTTAACCACTTCAAGTATTTTTCAGAGACAGTGAAGGCTCATGTAATAGCTCTGTTTCAGCCGCCATGAGAACCGTTCCAGAACTAGTAATTTCCAGTTGCCCACCTATTTTCCAATAAATTAAACGTTCATCCTACTATTCTAGAACGGTTCTCATGTTGGTTGGAACAGGTCCTATACCTTCTTACTGAAACGATGAAATTTAATTTTCGTCACTAGTGATAAAATATCCCATAACGTTAACTTTCGTCACTAGTGACGAAAGTGAATGATTAGAATTTTACATGTTAAATAGGTACATTGTTTCAAATCAAATTATAATTCAATTCTGTGGAGCACAATGGAAAAACATAGTTCATAACAAAATTATATAAATTTTGCTTTATATAATGTAATAAAAGCAAAATATAAGTATAAATATTATATTATATACCTATATAGAAAAATGGGAAGTTGGTCATTATACAGGGTGTCCCACGAATGATCATTTCGAAACGCATCATCGTATGTTCCACTGTATAATTTTCTGTCATATCCTTTAACAAAGCCTTAACAAATATGGCATAGCTGATTTTGTAATTTAATTTTCTAACGAAAAATACCATAATATACCATGAGTTATACATTTAAGATTTGAAAGTTGACGCCACTTATTGACCGAAATTGATACAAAAATGGTAAAATTGGATGACAATGGTAGAAGCGGCACAGAAAGTTACCCAGATCCTCAAAATTTCAATTATATTGGATGACGCGTTCCGAAGTTATCACCTGGGAGAAACGGAAACGTCGTGAGACACCCTGTATATCGAGCGCTTTTATAAACCTAGGCGCGAAGCGCCGAAGTTTATAAAGCGTGTATGTGTATAATGTCTTTCTTTACCGAGGAATATACAGGGTGGGGCACGAAAAACTCCTACCCAAAGCTTCTCAGGTGTTAGATGTTTAATCAAAAATCGCTCAGACACGTCAATTTTTGTTTTTTGGGAGACACATTTTAATGGTATTTTCACCCCCTACCAGGGTTGCCAGATCTATAAAATGAAAAAGCGGGACTGTTTCTTATCCAGAGTACCACGCCCATAAGCATAAGGGGGGAAGGGGCAAGTGCCCAATGTGTCCCCTCCCCCTATGGACCCCCTTGAGCAAAAGCGCAACAAATTTTTTGGAACCACGCCCAAATTTAGTTTGTGAGATCTTATCAGTATTATTATTACAGAGGTTATTGTTATTTGTATATTAAGGCGAATGATTGAAGTATAGGTAATGGAATGGAACGATAAATAAAAAAATTGATGACGGGAAAAATATAAAAACTCTTATCATGCAAATCAAGTTTTAATAGTGATACATATTTGTAATTTCTTCTAATAATAGTATATTGTTTAACGAGTAACAAAAACAGTATCAAACGAGGCGAAACCGAGTTTGGTAATGTTTTCAAGTTGCAAATAATGTTTTTTGACGATTAAAACATTATACTTTTTCTATGACGATGTTATATAATATGGTTTTTGCCACATGGTCTACGAGTGACGTCACCACGTCAGCAGCTAATAGTGGTGACGTCATCCGCAGACCTCGATGAAATGCTTGCGATTCAGGCTCATTATTTGACTTTTGGTCGATTTTAAATGAAGAAATAGCTATTTATGTAACAAGTTGTAAAATTTCCGACCGAAATTTTTTTTGTACTAAATGTAAAAATTGGGTAGAAAAAGCGGGAAAACCGGGACAATTCACGTGAAAAGCGGGACTTGTAATTAATAAAAAAAAGGCGGGACCAATTAACAAAATGCGGGACTGTACCTCCTAAGGTAGGACGTCTGGCAACCCTGCCCCCTACCTGTCAATCCTTAAGTGGGGGTAACAGGTGTACCCCCAAAATTTCAAATGGAAAGAGAGGTCGAGTGACATGTCATTTGATAGCTATTTCCATTAAGATTATATCCCCGAAGTTTTAAATTGGTACTATTTACCTTGCCGAAAGGTCGCCATGTCAAATTAAGGTTAAATGCTTTTTTTCGATAATCTAAACTGTATAATTTTTACCTGTCACACCTATGCGTAGGTAACAGGTAAAAATCACAGCATTTTCCCATTGATTTTTCCTAATGTTGACAAGCCGTCATTTCGACAGGGTGAATAGTAGCAACCTAAAACTTCAGGGATATAATCCTAATGAAAATAGCTATCAAATGACGTATCACTCGACCTCCTTTACATTTGAAATTTTGAGAGTACCTGTCACCCCCACTTAGGGGTTGACAGCTAGGGGGTGAAAATACCAATAAAATGTGTCCCCCAAAAAATAAAAATTGACGTGTTCGAGCGTTTTGTAATTAATCACCTAACACCTGAGAAAACCTGGGTGGGAAGTTTTTCGTGCCCCACAGTAAAAATTAAAAAATTGGTAAATCTGTGCTCAAATTATAATTTTTTTAACTCCTTCTTGAAAGTGCTGCCCTCTATCAACAGCCTAAGGTTACTTCCCATGTAGGTACCTATAGAAACACTCAATGATAAACACTAAACTCGGCTTCGCCTCGTTTGAAAAACTGTCAAATAATGCTGTTTTTGTCACTTGTAAAACAATTTACTATTTTTCTATGAGCATCTCTACATTACAAATACCAAATCGTCCAATTCTACTTTACCCTCGACTTTACCGCACACTTTCCAATCTATTTTACCGCACACTATGCGGTAATAGTAATTTACCTAACAAATGCGGAAAGTGATACTTTACCGCACGCAACGGCAGTTGACCGAACGACGCGAAGCGGAGTTCGGTCAAGCCGTTAAGTGCGGTAAAGGCACTTTCCGCATGAGGAGGTATAAAATTTTACCTATGAGCATCTACATCTCCAAAAAAGGCATTGATAAAATTAATTAATGAATCAGATTAATTAATGAAATAAGATTAAATTTAGAAATGATCAAAAATCAATTTTCTGAAAAAGAAAGGAATTTTGATTATAAATATCAAATTCTACTTTACCGCACACTATGCGGTAAAGTGCACTTTACCGCACACTTTGTAGTCCACTTTACCGCATACTATGCTGTAAAGTTAACTTTACCGCACACTATGCTGTAAAGTTAACTTTACCGCATAGTGTGCGGTAAAGTGATACTTTCCATTTTCAAATACGGTGCACTTTACCGCACACTCGTAGGTAAAGTAACTTTAAACGCACATTATGCAATAATAGTATATTAGGTAGGGCTGGGCGACTATCAAAATAAATAATCGATTATCGATTATTAAAAATAATCGATTATTTTCGATTAATCGATTAATCGAAAATAATCGATTAATCGAAAATAATCGATTAATCGAAAATAATCGATTAATTGGAAATAATCGATTAATCAAAAATAATCGATTAATCGAAAATAATCGATTAATCGAAAATAATCGATTAATCGAAAATAATCGAAAATAATCGATTAATCGAAAATAATCGATTATCGATTATTTGAAAATAAAATAATCGACTAATCGATTAATCGATTATTAATCGATTATTTTGCCCACCCCTAATATTAGGTCTGTTTCTGCAGAAATCACAAACCAGTCAGAGTGAATTTCATTATGGTTGAAAACAGTTAGAAACAGTCAGAAAACTAGTTTCAACCAATGAAATTCGCTCTGACTGGTTTGTGATTTCTGCAGAAGCAGACCTAATATAATAATAAGTGTGGTAACTAAATTATTACCGCACGTGAGAGAAATTTGTAAACCGAGCCGGTGGGCGAGGTTTGCAATCTCTAGGGGCGGTAATAACCTAATTACCATACGTATTACACCGTATTATATACAGTATTTTATCTACAAGCACAAGCGTGCGGTATCGCCGCCATATTGATGTGCAACCACTGCCAACGTCATCGGCTGTTTAAACAGCCTATGTCAAGGCGAGAAATAACATGCTGCTTATGTCACAAACTGTCACAACTGTTTGTTTGGCATAGGGGGGAAGGGAGGGATTTCTTTATTCTTATACACAGAGCTTACAACAGAGCTTATGAGGATAGGCCATCCTGTAGTAGTAGTGTTTATCATCCTAGGGTAATAGGTAGATAGTTTATCTCTGATAGGTAATTGAAAGTAGGTACCTATGTAGGTAGAGCGTGCGTGCGTTAAATATGGTACTTACCACACGCAAAATCGTGTAAAAAAAAATCTTAGTTACCGCACGCTTGTAGGTAAAGTAACTTTACAGATTCCTATATTATTCAGTGCATTCAATGGACGTAACTATCAAATATCAGCTGATAATAACACAGAAAGGGCTGTCATGACGTGGAGATTGTGAGGTGGAATTTGAATTTTTTCAAAAAGTTTGTTTTCTGCGAATAATTATTTGTACCATAATTTCCCACTAAAAAGCAAATTATATTATTAGTTAAACAGTGCTAAGAGCCGTCTTTAAAGGTAAGCAACTTTCATTTTAAGTTTAAACTTATTTTTCCTCAAGTCAAGTTAAGAAAACTATAATTATTGCCACTCAGATGGCTACTTACGAAGAATACATCCAACAAAACGAAGACCGTGACGGAATTAGGGCTACCTGGAACGTTTGGCCCTCTAGTAGAATAGAAGCCACCCGGCTTGTGGTACCCCTAGCATTTTTATACCAACCCATCAAAGAAAGACCAGACCTACCACCGATTCAATACGACCCAGTTTTGTGCACCCGCAACAATTGCAGAGCCATTCTAAACCCTTATTGTCAAGTGGATTACAGGGCCAAATTGTGGGTGTGCAATTTTTGCTTTCAAAGAAATCCAGTAAGGATTTGTCAGTCTTATATTTTTATCATAAACTAATGTGCAAATGATTCCAGTTTCCACCTCAATATGCTGCAATTTCCGAACAACATCAACCAGCTGAATTAATGCCCATGTTCTCAACAATCGAGTACACAATCAGCAGGGCTCAAACAATGCCTCCAATCTATTTGTACGTAGTCGACACTTGCATGGACGAAGAAGAATTGGGAGCCTTAAAAGACTCCTTACAAATGTCCCTAAGTTTATTACCCCCCAACGCATTAATAGGCCTAATTACTTTTGGCAAAATGGTACAAGTCCACGAATTAGGCACCGATGGCATGAGCAAATCTTATGTATTTAGGGGCACCAAAGACCTCAGCGCCAAACAAATCCAAGACATGCTAGGCATTGGCAAGGTGGCCCCCAATCCGCAAACAATGCAAAATCCAAGTGCCCCTATTCCACCTGCCAGCAGATTCATTCAACCTGTGGCTAATTGTGAAATGAACCTCACTGATTTGATTGGGGAGTTGCAAAGAGATCCTTGGACTGTGCCTCAAGGAAAAAGATTTCTAAGATCAACTGGAGTAGCTTTGTCAATAGCCATTGGTCTATTGGAATGCACCTATGCCAACACTGGTGCTAGAGTTATGTTGTTTGTGGGAGGGGCTTGCTCTCAAGGGCCTGGCCAAGTGTTGAATGATGACCTCAAACAACCAATAAGGTCTCACCATGACATACACAAAGATAATGCAAAATACATGAAAAAGGCAATAAAACATTATGATAATTTGGCTATGAGATCTGCAACAAATGGCCATTGCATTGATATTTATTCATGTGCCTTGGACCAAACTGGTTTAATGGAAATGAAACAGTGTTGCAATTCAACTGGAGGCCACATGGTGATGGGGGATTCGTTTAATTCGTCTTTGTTCAAACAAACATTTCAAAGGGTGTTTGCAAAAGATCAAAACAATCAACTTAAAATGGCTTTTAATGGCACTTTGGAAGTCAAATGTTCCAGGGAGCTGAAAGTACAAGGCGGAATTGGTTCGTGTGTTTCTTTAAATGTAAAAAGCCCTCTTGTAGCTGATACTGAAATTGGTATGGGCAATACAGTGCAATGGAAAATGTGCACTCTGAATCCTAGCAGTACTGTTGCCTTATTTTTTGAGGTGGTCAATCAGCATTCGGCTCCTATTCCTCAAGGCGGTAGAGGATGTATTCAGTTTATCACACAATACCAGGTTTGTTTTTATAGGTTTTCTGTATGTAATATTTTTTTAATTTGTATACAATTTAGCATGCAATTGGTCAAAGACGTATAAGAGTGACAACAATTGCAAGAAATTGGGCTGACGCTTCAGCAAATATTCATCACATTAGTGCAGGTTTTGATCAGGAATGTGCTGCAGTTGTTATGGCTAGAATGGCTGTTTATAGGGCAGAAACTGATGAAAGTCCTGATGTACTCAGATGGGTGGATCGTATGCTAATTCGATTGGTACAAAATTACTTTATTTATGTATTGTTTATAGCTAAACAATTTTTTTTAGTGTCAAAAATTCGGCGAATACAATAAAGATGATCAAGTTTCATTTAGACTAGGAGAAAACTTTAGTCTTTATCCTCAATTTATGTATCATTTAAGAAGGTCACAATTTTTGCAAGTTTTCAATAATTCTCCAGATGAAACTTCATTTTACAGGTAAAGTAACTACTGTTGTTGATAATAAAATGTTGCTTATTTTTTTTTGTAGGCACATGTTAATGAGGGAAGACCTGACTCAATCCCTAATAATGATACAGCCAATTTTGTACAGCTACAGCTTCAACGGACCACCAGAACCGGTTTTACTTGACACTAGTTCAATACAGCCTGATAGGATTTTGCTTATGGATACTTTTTTCCAAATATTGATTTTCCATGGAGAGGTATATGTATATTTTAATTAATCCATATTCTAAAATTATATGGCTAATTATACAGGGTGTTTCTGAATAATGGGATCAAATAATTAGGTCCGCGAATACTTAGTTTTTCAGATACAGGGTGTCAAAGTTTAGGTTAGTTTCAAACTTGGCAGGTTTGTTTGTGATAACAAAATTGAATTTATCGAATATTGAAAATTTTCCTTAAAATATGTACAGTGTGGTCATTTTATAAAATATTGATTACCTACACAGATTACCCACAAAGGTAGGTAGGTAGACACAATTTTCCATTAGACTAAATAAAACATTTCTGCATGAAATTATGAGGTAAATTGTATTCAATTGTATATACAGGGTGTCCACAAGTGCGATATCAGACGATATCTCCTTACAGGGTGATGCAAGAAAAAAAATTTAAATTACAAAATTGTTTGATATTCTAATATGCATTAGTTAAAAATATTTTTGAATATACAGGGTGCTTCGTTTATGGGTTATGCGACAGAACTTTGTTATTTCAAATAGAACACCCCATATGTGATTTCATATTTGGATTCTACATAAAATTCTGACCAGATTTCATGTAATATACTCTATACCTAAGTTCAACTGTTTTGGAAATATTGACAATTGAAAATTGACTTTTTGCAACTTTGACAGGCTGTAAAACCTAAACAGTTAATTTTAGACGAAAACCGACTTTACATTTCTATCTTAGATTTTCATAAACTATCATTTGACACCATCTTTAAATTTAACCGGCGATTAAATTTAACTGGAATTTTTAATCATAGATTAAATTCAAAGTTGCTGTCAAATGATAGTTTATAAAAATCTAAGATAGGAATGTGAAATCGTTTTTCGTCTAAAATTAACCGTTTAGGTTTTACAGCCTGTCAAAGTTGCAAAAAGTCAATTTTCAACTGTCAATATTTCCAAAACAGTTGAACTTAGGTATAGAGTATATTACATGAAGTCTGCTCAGAATTTTACGTAGAATCCAAATATGCAATCACATACAGGGTATTCCATTTAAAATAACAAAGTTCTGTCGCATACCCCATAAACGGAGCACCCTGTATATTCAAAAATATTTTTAACTAATGCATATTAGAGTATCAAACAACTTTGTAATTTAATTTTTTTTTCTTGCATCACCCTGTAAGGAGATATCGTCCGATATCGCACTAAGTGGACACCCTGTATATTATATTGCAATCAGAATGGAACATATTACCAAACAAACTAAAAATTTACTGGGGTGTTCCATTTAAAACTTGGAGAAAAATCCTACAGTATGTTTTTTTATTTATTTAAATAACTTCAAAAATAAAGAAATTATGACAGTTTGAAATGTTATCAAGATAAAATGACCACCCTGTACATAGATTTTAAATCTTTATTGATTTTGAGGATTTTGAAAATCTTCACTTAAAATTTAGAAGATTTTAGGAATTTTTAATTTTACAGATTTTTATTGATGTTTAAACTTTTTAGAGGATTCTGAGGAGTTTTTAAAGATTCTAAAGGATTTTTGTGGGGTTTTGTTGAATTTTAAAGGATTCTCAAGATTTTTAGGGATTTTAATTAGATCTTATGAGATTTCTATGGATTTTTACTAGCTGTATACAGATTTTGAGGAGTTAATAAACCCTCACAAAATCTAAAATAAGCAAAAATGCCATTTCTTACATTTTAATAATTTTTTGGAAAACTACTAGAGGGAAAAGTATGCAACTTTCAGGACAAAAAGAGGAAAACTGAGAGCTGATTATACTAAAATTTCAAATTTTTTCAGTGAAAAACAACACAATAAGAAATTAACGATTATCAATTTCCAAACTCTAAATTAAGCAGAAATGCAGTCTCTCACATTTTCATATTTTTCTGGAAAACTATTGAATGGAAAATTATGAAACTTTTATGATGAATAGAGAAAAATTAGAAGCTCATTTTATTTAAATTTCAAATTTTTCTAATGAAAAACACCACCATGGGAAATTCATGAAAATCTACTTGCAAAATCTAAATTAGGCAAAAATGTAATCTTTCACATTTTAATATTTTTCTGGAAAACTGCTGAAGGGAAACTTTCAAGATAAAAAGAGGTTATTTAGGAACTCATTATACTAAAATTTCAAATTTTTCTAATGAAAAAACACCCCATGGGAAATTCATGAAAATCTACTTGTAAAATCTAATATGTATGTATAAGCAAAAATGCAATTTCTTACATTTTAATAATTTTCTGGAAAACTACTGCAAGGAAAATTATGAAACTTTCAGGATAGAAACAGGAAAACTAGGGGCTGATTATACTAAAATTTCAAATTTTTTCATTGGAAAATAACACCATGAGAACTTAATGACTATCAAGTTGCAAATTCTAAATTTAAGCAAAAATGCAGTCTCTCACATTTTCATATTTTTCAGGAAAACTATTGAATGGAAAATTATGAAACTTTTAGGATGAAAAGAGGAAAATTAGGAGCTCATTTTATTTAAATTTCAAATGTTTCTAATTAAAAACACCACCATGGGAAATTCATGAAAATCTACTTGCAAAATCTAAATTAGGCAAAAATGTAATCTTTCACATTTTAATATTTTTCTGAAAAACTTCTGAAGGGAAACTTATGAAACTTTCAAGATAAAAAGAGGTTACTTAGAAATTTATTATACTAAAATTTCAAATTTTTCTAATGAGAAACAACCCCATGGGAAATTCATGAAAATCAACTTGTAAAATCTAATATGTATAAGCAAAAATGCAATTTCTTGCATTTTAATAATTTTCTGGAAAACTACTGCAAGGAAAATTATGAAACTTTCAGGATAGAAACAGGAAAACTAGGGGCTGATTATACTAAAATTTCAAATTTTTTCATTGGAAAATAACACCATGAGAACTTAATGACTATCAAGTTGCAAATTCTAAATTTAAGCAAAAATGCAGTCTCTCACATTTTCATATTTTTCAGGAAAACTATTGAATGGAAAATTATGAAACTTTTAGGATGAAAAGAAGAAAATTAGGAGCTGATTTTATTTGAATTTCAAATGTTTCTAATGAAAAACACCACCATGGAAAATTCATGAAAATCTACTTGCAAAATCTAAATTAGGCAAAAATGTAATCTTTCACATTTTAATATTTTTCTGGAAAACTACTGAAGGGAAACTTATGAAACTTTCAAGATTTTTCAAATTTTTCTAATGAAAAACAACCCCATGGGAAATTTATGAAAATCAACTTGTAAAATCTAATATAAACAAAATTGCAATTTCTTACATTATAATATTTTTCTGAAAAACTACTATAAGGAAAATTATGAAAATTTTCGGGTTAAAAAGAGGAAAACTGAGAGCTGATTATACTAAAATTTAAAATTTCAACAGTGGTACCTGAGAAGCTTCAAAGTCAAAATTATCGAACATTGTTAATTTGCTAAAAATGACATTGAGACAGTTTTTGTCTCACAACTGCGTTAATTTTCATCTGATTTGAACTTAGTTACACTTCAATTAAAGCCAATTAAATTCTCTACAAACCTGTCAAATGAGATTTAAATGTAGTTCCAACAGTTTCATGATTTAAATTTTCAGACCATTGCCCAATGGAGAAGTCTAAAATACCAAGACATGCCCGAATACGAAAATTTCCGTCAATTGCTGCAAGCCCCAGTAGATGACGCCCAAGAAATTCTACAAACACGTTTTCCCATGCCAAGATACATAGATACTGAACAGGGAGGGTCTCAAGCTAGATTTTTACTATCTAAAGTTAATCCAAGTCAAACACATAATAATATGTATTCTTACGGAGGCGTAAGTATTTATTTTTATGTTTAAATATTGAGTTTTTTTATGTGTGTTTTTTTTTTTTTTTGTTTTATGTTGTCGCACTGTATAGGCCATCATGACTGGTCAAACTGGGGTAATCATTTTGTTTTTAATATAGATAGGTGGATTTGTGGGTTTTAACCAATTGGGTGTTGGATAAAATAATATCATTTTATTTGTTTTGCTTATTTACAGTTTTTATATTGTATTTTTTCTTTAGGATGCTGGTGCTCCTGTTCTAACAGACGACGTCTCGCTACAAGTTTTCATGGACCACTTGAAAAAACTTGCAGTCTCATCTACAGCATAATTTTAGTTTTATAGGCATAAAATTGTATTGCTAAATATTAAATAATTATTTTGTTCTTTGTAAGGTTTTTATTTTTTTTTGTTGCTATATTTATATAAATTAATCCATTATATTCTACTTATAAAATTTAATTTAGAAACCTAATACTCATTTTCTGTTCAACATCAGTCCTTTGCAAGGCCTTGGAAAATTCCTCAAACGAAATCATTTGATCATTATCCTCATCTGCCTCTAATATGGTCCTTTCTGCAATGCTTACAAGTTGCTCCTCGCTGATATTAGTGCCTACCATCATGTGTAAAATAGCTAGTAGTTCATCTTTGGAAATCAAGTCATCATTATCAAGATCATAAAGCTTAAAAGCAACTAGAAAAGTGGACAATTATAACAAAACTAAAATTTAAACAATGTGAATAGTTTACATTTCAGTTTTTCCTCTCTGGAATTGTATTTATTGTCCTTATTTTTTTTGACTGGCCTAAAATGGGCCAGCACTTGCATGAATTGCCTAAAGTTGACCCTGTCTGTGAATTCATCTCCTTGAAAAAAGGAATTCACTATTCTTTCGCCTAAAGGATTAATAGCCAATTCTGGAATCCGTAAAAAATCATCTCTGGACAATGTACCGCAATCGTTACGATCCAGAGCAGTGAAACGAGAATAGAGACGTTCAATTTGATTAGGAGTAACTAGGAATTATCAGTACTTCATACAAATTATTTTTTTTTTAAAAAAAAGGTACTTACATCCTGTTTCTTGTTGAATTTGAGCAATTTCTTCTTCTCGTAACAATAGAGAAGCTCTATTTCCCATTGCTATTGGTCTTTGGACAATGACTTTCTTAAATAACTGAGTAACTAATTTTTGAATTTGATATCAATGGACTTTAGAATGAACTTGATTTTTTATTTATATTTGTGAAAATGGCGAGGTCACGTGTCACAACAAGGTCATGTTTGACAGCATCTGACATAAGACGTCTTGACTCTTGAAGGTAATTCTTTGAGAAACTATATATGGTTTCACATAGATGGCGCCACCAAATATTTGATTTTATTAAGTTTCGTTTCATGCTAGTTGCTATAATTACGATTGTAACGAAAACGTGCAACGCTCTATGGTGTATTTTTTTAATTGAAATTACCTTTGAATCAAAATGAAACATTTATTTTCAAAAGGAAAGTCTGGGCCAGTAGTTTGCAACTTTGCGGTAAGATGGCGCCAGTTTTGCGAGAGTTTATTTATTTGTCTTTCAAATAAAGCGTCATGTTAGGCCAATAATTAAAACTAAGGTAATAATTATTTTATTTATATTTATTCTACAATAAAAATTATTATACTAATATAATTTCTTTCTTGTTGACATGTCTGACTTTCAATCCAAGTAGGCTATGGAAATCCTTTTCCAACTGGCGGCCATCTTGTCGACTCAAGTTCCTGTCGTGTGTGCCACGCGTCTCGTTTCTCCTCGGTTTTTGTAGTTTTTCGGGCGATTTTAATGCGAAAAAGTGTTTAAAAGTGTTCCTCGAGGTGTTTTGCATTTGATTGGCACAAAACAATTAGAAAATTTACTTGTTTTTGGACTTATGAACTTTGTGTGCTGCTGGGGCAATATAAATCGCAAGGTAGGCCACATTCCATTGAAACTAAACTTATTTTTGGAGTGAAACTTCTTTACGGATGATAGGGTTAGTTGGTTTCATGCGAGTTGCTGTGTAACGAAAACATGCAACACTAGGGGCCGGTTTCTCAATAGCGAGTCACTCCCAGGTTAAGCATAGCTCCAGGATAACCATAGCAAGTGGATACGTTAAACTCTAAAATTAAAACCAACCTAGAGATGACTGGCTATTGAGAAACTGGTCATAGGCATCTCCTATTGCCAGTGTTGCCAGGTCATATTCTGTTTTGTCAGTAGATTTTCAGTCTAAATATCAGTAGAAATAAGTAGACAGATAAGTTGCCTTGTTAAAGGGGTAATTTGGGGTAAACCATCAGGGTATACTCAATTAATTATTTTAACTACCTACGTTTTTTCAAATCATTAAGTCATTAGACTGTGTATTAGACTATGAAAACTTGCATTAGAAAATCAAACACCAATACTACTTATGAGAAATAGTTTATTAAGATTAAGACACATGAGATATTCCTATTAAATATGCACTACCTATGATGGGATGCCCTATATTTGGTTCTATATTCTTGAATAGTACAATTTCCCGATTCCAAAACTATACAGGGTGAGTTTTTTTTCAATGTATAGTATGGAAATCTCGGAAACTATAGCAGATACGAAAAAGTTCAAATTAGCAAAGAATTGCAGTTTTGTAAGCTCAATTCAAAACCAATTTTATTTTTCCAAAATTTGACAGCTGTCAATAGATATATGAAAAAAACTGATTTTTGGCGATTTCTTAAAACGCTCCTAATTCAGCAAATATTAATTTTGAGAGAAAATGTTAAATACAAAAGTGTAAGGAAATTTTATTCTCAAGAAAATGACATAAACAGTTTTTTTGTCAAGCCTGTCATTTTTGACATGTGACATAAACTTATGTTTTTCTAAACGAAAACCTTAGGTACTTAATTTTATCTACATTGAATAAAGAATTTTTTTTACTACTAACCTGAGAAGTAGTCATCATTCAATCTATTTTTCTCGGAAAAAATTGAATTTCTCTCCCTAGGTTAATAATGAAAATAATGAAAAAAAACCTAGGTCAATAATGAAAATGACGTCATGACGCAAGGATATAGTCATAACGTTACAGGTTTCTATTGGTTTAATTTCAATTTCAAACTGTCAATTTAATCAAAAAAACAGGTTCCTGTATGTATCATAGAAAATTACCATAGATGTTGATAGAGGGCAGCACTAATAAATTGAGCGCAGATTTCAAACTTATTTTTTATTTTCCACTATAGCAGTAGTAAAAAAAATTCTATATATTCCACGGTAGAGAAAGTCATTATATACCTTACGCATTATAAACCTCGGCGCTATGCGCCTCGGTTTATAAAAGCGCTCGGTATATAATGACCAATTTATCTACCTAGGTATATAATGTACTATTATTACCATTCTAATGGTATAGCATATGATGGGGTGATTTCTAAAAATAAAGTTTTTGTGGGCATTTTTGAGTTTTTTTTTTTTTATTCACCTGTCACTTCAACGTAGTCATGGGCTGGGACTCTGTAACGAATAGAGATATTCTCTATCTCTATTGACGTCTCGTCTCTTTTAACTTCGACAAGACAGAAGAAGACAGCAAGTGCCATAAGGATAAGAATAACGATCTCTATCCGTTTCAGAGTTCCAGCCCTGGTTACCTATGGGAAAATAACAGTGGCGGAACTAAGACTTTTGGGGCCCGACGCAAAAAATTTTTTTGGGGCCCTGTCATGCTTTTTCTAGGTATTTTTCTTGTGGTGTTGGGTTGTAAAGTGAGTGTGCGGAAGTTATTTATATTTTTGAAGTTTTTAACAACCAAATATAGAAATGAATGTAATCAAAATACAAGTTTATCAAGAACATATGAGACAGAAAACAAGTTAAACGAAAAAATTTTTTTATAAAAATTCAGGAACTTTTTATCTAAACAAAAAGAAATACATCATAGTAGTACCGCACTGCACTGATACTGTCCGTACTCCACTGACAAGTGCCATACATTATCTGAGTCTGGAAGACAATAGGCAATTTTGTGCGAGAATAACCAAGGATAATCTTTTGCTGGATTATATGATGTGTCATTTGTGTCATACTCCCCTAACTCCCCCACCATCAAATTCTGGGATACTCAAGGATCAAGAACACCTAATTTCTTCTGAGAGAACAGATCGAAAATCACCTCTTCTACATTTAAAATCGACGAAAAAATTAACACTAGCACAGCCTGAATCGCAAGCATTCCATCGAGGTCTGCGGGCGACGTCATCACTACAAGCGGCTGATAGTAGTGACGTTACTCGCAGGCCCAGAATTTGATGTAGAGGAAGTTAGGGGAGTATGATACAATTGACACATCACATAACCCAGCATAATCAGATTATGCTTGATTATCCTCGCGAAAAATTGCCTGATGGCTAAAAAAGCCGCCTAAAGTCGACGCGTCCGCGGTTGCCGCTTTATCGCGTCGAGTGCATCACGGCTGGGATCACGACATTCTACTAGAATTTCTCTTTCATAACGTCAGGTTGCCTAACAATTGTCATCATCGCCTGTACTGTACGCGATAAATGTGCCGCAAATGACACGTCATGAAAGTGGAATTCTACTTGTCATGATTCCAGGGGTGCGATTTTCGAAACCATTCGAGTACATTTCGTACACGAAATTTGACTGACAGCAATGTAAATTAAATGGGGAGCATTCGAAATCGTATCAAATTTCGTATGCGAAAATAGGACCCCAGCCCTGGATTTCCTACAGGGCCTTTATTGCCGAAAAAGGAGATAAGCGTTCTGTCTTAGTTGCCCATATTTCTATTTCCGTAACACTGACAAAGACAGAACAATCGTCCTTTCTCGTGAGAACGCTGTTCCCCGGTTTCAAGAATAGTCCCAGCCCAGACTACGTTGAAGTGGCAGGTGAATTATAAAAAAAAAACACAAAAATGCCCACAAAAACTTTATTTTTAGAAATAACCCCATTAAAATCGTTAAATTCTCTATTCAATGAGGATAAAATTAAGTATAGCTTCCATTTAAAAAAACATAAGTTTACATCACATGTCAAAAATGAGAGATTCTACAAAAAAAATGTTTACGTCATTTTATTGAGAATAAAATTTCCATACTTTTGTATTTAACATTTTCTTCCAAAATTAATATTTGCGTTTTAAGAAATCGCCAAAAATCAGTTTTTTTCAGATATCTATTAACAGTTGTCAAATTTTGGAAAAATAAAATTGGTTTTGAGTCGAGCTTACAAAACTGCAATTTTTTGCTAATTTAAACTTTTTCGTATCTGCTATAGTTTCCGAGATCTCCATGCTAAACATCGAAAAAAACTCACCCTGTATAGTTTGTCTAGATTTGGTTGAGCTGGCTCCAACATATTTGGTTTTAAAAAATTTAAAAATACTATCAGAGAAACCAAGTACCTACCTCAAATTTTACCTGCAGCTTTCACCTGTACAGGTAAATGGTTCACAAAATTAGTAAACTAGGATAGTATTTTTACAATGTTTGGAGCCGAATATATGAGAGACTGTTCAATCAAATATAGACAAACTACATATATATTTTTGGAATTGGAGCATTGTACTCTTCGAGAATATAGAATGAAATATAGGGCATCCCATTTGAAAAAAGCTGGAAGCAAGCAAAATTTCACATTTCTGACATTCAAATTTTGTTTCTGATCATGGTTTCTAAAAATTCAGCCAAAACTGTGCAACTTTTGCATTCACATCTTTTTTCTACCTGTAAAGGTAAAGGAGTTAAGTGGGGTGTCGATATATAAAAAAAAACACCCTGTACAAATAAGTGAATTATTGCGGAAATTATGGGTGGACATCTGCGGGACGAGCGAAGCGAGTTCCGCAGCCATCTACTCACCAATATACTAAGCTGAAATTTTCAGGGATTGTAGTCCTTTCATTGGGATAAAATTCAAGTGAGTCAGGTTAGTATCGTAATTGAAACAACATATTGATGAATAGATGGCTGAGGTCCACCCATAAGTTCCACAACAATCCACTCGTTTGTACTTGAATAACTTGTTTTGATATATAAAAAAAAACACCCTGTACAAATAAATGGATTATTGCGGAACTTATGGGTGAACCTCTGCGGGACGAGCGCAGCGAGTTCCGCAGCCATATTTTCACCAATATACTGATGAACTGTTCAAGTAAGAGTAGTAAGACATTTACCTGAAGCATGTAGTTTTTAAACTAATGAGAATAACTCACATTTGAGTGAGTCAGGTTAATATCATAAATAAACAACATATTACAGGCGCGGATCCAGACCCAAATTAAGGGGGGGCCATACAAAATATTGGAAATTACAGGGTGTCTGGGTTATAATTTTGACACTCCACCTTTATAGGTAGATGATAGGTGTAAACACAAAAGTGGAGCTGTTTTAGCTAAATTATTGTCAAAAATTTGAAATTTTGTGTAGGTACTTTCAACTTTTTTCAAATAGAATTCCCTATATTTGATTCTATATTCTTGAAGAGCACAATTTTCCAATTCCAAAAATATATAGTTTCTCTAGATTTAGTTGAGCCGTCTCCACCATATTTGGCTTCAAAAATTTTAAAAATACTATCAGAGAGACCAAGTGCCTCAAATTTTACCTGAAGCTTTCATCAGAATGGTTCACAAAATCATCAGTAGGATAGTATTTTGCCAATTTTTAGAGCCAAATATGTTGAAAGCGGCTCAAACAAATATAGACAAACTATATATTTTTGGAATCGGAGCATTGTGCTCTTCAAGAATATAGAATGAAATATAGAGTATCCCATTTGAAAAAAGCTGGAAGCATGCAAAATTTCACATTTCTGACATTCAAATTTTGTTTCTGACCACGGTTTCTAAAAATTCAGCCAAAACTGTACAACTTTTTTATTTACACTTTTCTTCTAAAGGTAAAGGCTGTAGGTGGGATGTCAATACATAAATATAAAAAAACACCCTGTACAAAGTGCATCTTTTGATGGGTCTCCCAGTGACGTCATACTCTTGCGAAATGCATTTTTAATCGATTCCAGGCGCTTGAAACTCTACTCAATTGTTTTAAATCATAGTTGGTCATGCAATGTTGCCAAACGCCTGGAATAATCACAATTTGGTTCAGAAATGAGTAAGTAAAACTAATTCTGAGTCTCAAAAACGTTTCAATTGCACCCAATTGACGTCATCAAGTTACCTTTTACTAGACAACCTTGTACAAAGTGCATCTTTTGATGGGTCTCCCAGTGACATCATATTTTAGCGAAATGCATTTTTAATCGATTCCAGGCACTAGAAAATCGACTCAATGGTTTTAAATCATAGTAGGTTATGCAATGTTGCCAAATGCCTTGAATAATCACAATTTGCTTCAGAAATAAGTAAAACTAATTCTGAGTCTCAAATATAGGGCATTTCATTTAAAAAAGTTGAAAGTAGGTACGCAAAATTTCAAATTTCTTACAATAAACTTTTGTTTTTGACGATGGATTCTGGAAATTTAGTTAAAATTTCACAACTTTTGTGTTCGCACCTATCATCTGGCTGCAGGCTGCAGTTGGGGTGTCAAATTATAACCAGACACCCTGTACATACAAATCGAATAGGCTAGAGGTCCGTGATAAAATGACGCCATGAAATGAAATTTTGTTATATCTACGGCGGGCCCTGGTAAACCCGGAAAAATTGGTCGATTCAATATTAATTTTTAAAATTATTTTTTCTACTGACGTTTCATAATAGCAACTTTTCGATTGTCATTTCAGTTTTGAAACGACATTCTTTTAGGCACTGAGTGCGTGAAAGTTACTTTTAGGCACTCAGTGCGTAAAAGTGACTTTTGAATGCGTAAAAGTGACTTATGAGTGCGTAAAAGTAATTTTTAAGCACTAGTGCCTAAAAGTGTCATTCATTATTCAGAAATAAAAAACAACACTAACCACATATTTGAATTTTGTTTTGTATTTATTATGAATATTGAAAATGGAATTACTGAATTGAACGTTTGGGTTACTCAAAACAGAACTTTGTGTTATTACCTACTTTCTAGGATTTTAATTATTGATGCCGAATTTTGAAAAGAAAATCGCATGAAAAGTGTCAGGTGTCAAGTGAAAGCAGGTGACAAAGATTTTGGGTGTAATCGACTTATTCACATGAAATAAAATTGTGTTTTTTTTATTATAAAATGCCAGTAGAAAAAATCTTGTATACAATACGTTACGAAACGATGTCTTTTAGTCATTCGACGTGTTGTCCAACTCGGCTTTGCCTCGTTGGACAATTTTCACGTCGCGTGCCTAAAAGACGCTCATTTCGTAACTTATTGTATAAATAGCTATTTTCTTATCTAGGGGGGGCCATGGCCCCCATGGCCCCTCCCTGGATCCGCGCTTGATATATTGATGAATAAATGGCTGCGGAACTCGATGCGCTCGTCCCGCAAAGGTCTAACGATAAGTTGCGCAACAATTCAATCATTTGTACTTGAATAACTTGTCACAATATGTTACTAGTTTGGTAAAGTAACATTACTAATTCCTGTTGAAAGGCGAATTGACAAAAAGTGGACAATCCTACAAATTCTGACTTTATATAATAAGTTATTGTTCAAGTACAAATAAGTGGATTGTTGCGGAACTTATGGGTGGACATCTGCGGGACGAGCGAAGCGAGTTCCGCAGCCATCTACTCACCAATATACTGAGCTGAAATTTTCAGGAATTGTAGTCCTTTCATTGGAATAAAATTCAAGTGAATCAGGTTATTATCGTAATTGAAACAACGTATTGATGAATAGATGGCTGCGGAACTCGCTGCGCTCGTCTCGCAGAGGTCCACCCGTAAGTTCCGCAACAATTCACTCATTTGTACTTGAATAACTTGTTACAATATATTACTAGTTTAAAAAATATATTTATAAAAGCAGATAAATAATGACAACGGCTTTTATCAGTAGAATTTACATTGATATCAGTATATCAGTGGCCAAATCAGTAGATGTTGATAAATCAGTAGACCTGGCAGCACTGCCTATTGCCACGAAGTCACTAGAGCCGGTAAATTTAAATTTTTAAACTTTTGGAAATTTGTAATTGTTAATGTATTTTGCACCTTGTACGAAGAACTGCGATTAATAATAACAATATAAACAATACATAAAGATAATACCTACTTGAACCACATAATTAAATGCTGATAAACTATGCGTTTCAAAAATCATCACTGGTAATATATTAAATTGAGGGCAAAAAATTTAAAAAAATCAATTGAAGAATGAAGATATATAAGCAGGTCAATTATTAATAAATTCAAACCACTAAGCGCTTGTACTACAAAACCCATTAATACATTAAAATGCTTTTTACCAAAAGTACAATAACGCAAATACCAGACCGGTAATATACATCTACCAAAAGTGGTAAAAAAGAATTGCAATGGCAATGGCAATGGGTAATTTTTTTATTGAACAGCTTCAAGTGTTTTCAGTTTGCCGGTGTACTTGTTCTCGAATGGATTGTGAAAGTGTTTTTTACATATTTTGCCGATGCACTCGACGACGACGTGGTTAAGATGAAGTTACATTGGTATGTGCTTACTAGATGAAACTTTCAAAAACAAATTAGAAACATTTTCATAATTATTCATTAAATTCTGCATTGATTGCTGATGATGGTCTTTTTATACCCACGAATTAGTTTTTTTAATAAATTATCACAAATTTTTATGCTTGGGATGAGGCACGCTACTTTTTACTAAAAAGAAACTTTTCAAATAACCGTGCCAATTAATACTTACTATAGGTGAATTTTAAGTATTTGTAAAGTTAAGATATATAGTATAGGAGTGACTCAACGGAAATTCCTTTTCGAACAACTTTATTGGCAACCTAAAAGATTATCCAAGTTATTTATAAATTTTCCTGGAAATGCAACAAAACATTTGTACCTATATCCTATTGCATTTACTAACACAGTGCGAATAGATAGAAAATTATTTTTAATCCAGATTTTTGAGCCATTTACAATTTTAAAAACAATGCTGTGTCTGCGTAGATAACATTGTTTAAAAGATATATAAATTTATTGCTTGGCTTAAGTGAATATATAGTAAGTTTTATAAGGCATCAGTCAGAATAAGATTTTTACTTGTTGAAGCTACATGCATTTGAGGGCTACTTGCTAAAAATTGAATACTCAAGTCAAGGTAAGAATAAAACAGTACTACTGATTTAGTTTTTGGAAAAATTCTGAACATAATGGGTAGGTATACTCATCTATCTTACCTATGTAGACAATATAAGTATGCGTATATGCCATTTTAATAGAAACCGATCGTGGATGATGAATTTAGGAATATTCTGTCCTTACAGCGTTTTTTGATGAATTAGCAGTCGTTTATATGTAGGTATTTAGATGTCGCGTTTTTACACTTATTTTAATTATTTTTCTATTCCAGGCTCTTGGCTTTTCCTCATTTCTTTATAATATTATACGTTTTTGAATTTTCCTTACATTATTTTATTCCAGGATCGTGTCCAATTTTCTTTAAAATTAGGGGTTACAAATATGAAAAAATTAACTTTTTTTTTTCTGAAGATTTTCGACAGGGTTCCACATTCATCTTGTTCAACATTGTCGCTGAAAATTTCAGCTTTCTATCTATAATAGACAAAAAGTTATGACCTTTCAAAGTTTTCCAAAATCTAAATCATAACGTTTTTTTATATATCGACACCCCACGTACAGCCTTTACTTTTACAGGTAGATGAAAGGTGTAAATACGAAAGTTGTACAGTATGGGCTAAATTTTTAGAATCCATGGTCAGAAACAAAAATTGAATGTCAGAAATGTGAAATATGGCATGCTTTCAGCTTTTTTCAAATGGGATGCGCTATATTTGGTTCTATATTTTTGAAGAGCACAATTTCCTGATTCCAAAACTATATAGTTTGTCTATATCTGGTGGAGTCGTCTCCAACATATTTGGTTCTAAAAATTTTAAAAATACTATCACAGAAACCAAGTACCTTAAATGTTACCTGCCAACTTTCACCTGTACAGGTAGAATGGTTCACAGAATCAGTAGTAGTATATTATCACAGCATATACAAAAACAATCAGCAGGCTAACTCGAGTGACAGCCCGTGTAATAAAGGAATTCATGGTTGGGATGTCAGTAGCGGCCATTTTGGGATACGAGACAGGGCCTGATTAACGATAATTTAAGTTTTTTCTTTCGTGTCACAGAGTCGTATCGGCTTCAAATAAATTAATTTTGATATTACTTACATAGTTACATATAATAATATTTATAATTACTAATTTATTATTATTATTATTAAATATACAACAATGATAACAGATAACACCATAAATGACAACACGAATATACTAAAATCACTTCGAAAATCGTAACTAAAATTCCGCTCTACACCGCACGCCTATGACCTCTGTCAGAAATAAACAAATAAAATAAAATTTCGGTGCCCCTGCCGTTTAATGACAGCGTTATGACAGAATGGTATCCCCTGATGGCGGCCTGCGCAGAAAAGATGCGCGTGAGAGTTAGCCTGCTGATTGTTTTTGTATATGCTGTGATATTATTATTAACCTATACCTGTATTTAAAGCACGTTTTCTTAAATTTTCATTTCGTTTTTTTTTGGGTCTTATTCAGAAACTTTGACAAGCCCTATATTAATTCAGGTGCTGGTGTAATATTTTTTTATGAAGTAAATTTTAAATAGGCGAGTACTCTATAGACATTGATTTTCGATGTGGGTAACTCAAAAACTTTAAAATTGGTGTGAAAAAGGACTTTATGGAACTAAATGTAAATTCGTTCAGTTGGTCTGGTACTAATTTATTGTCAGCCCTGTGTTGTACGACTTACGGGTAACCTCTTGGTGCCCAGACTATAGCTAGCTAGTTTCCCAGCAGGTACTGAGGTCCCATACGGGAAGCTACTCAGCTATAGTTGTTTTTGAGCCAATATTTCTAGATTGGTTATTTCAATTTGTTAGGATATTTTCTCGTCAGGGTAAGAAAATGTTAATAAATTCAACAAGGCCCTAATACATGTTCTAAATCCACAAAATCTAAATCTCAACACATAATTTTTTAGGTTCTAATTTACTTTTTTATCTGTGTTGTTTACAGTATGAAACGATTTTTGTTAAATACATGAACAATGCTCATGTTATAAAAAATGTTATAAACAAACAAAAAAAAATACATAAAAATAAACAAAATATAAGAACTTACATAAATTGAACTTCTTAAAAACAAAATAACATTTAATCCACTAACCTGTGAACGTTCCTTACACACACACTAAAAACAAATTGGATTGAACAATTAATTTTAATGCAAAATAGAAATGAAAATTGAATAATGAATAATTACAGGAACAGCCCCAGCTTGTTCTCAAGTCTAGTTGCGTCTTCTCTATCTCCTGTTTGCAGTACCGTTTCTTGTGGTCGAACGCGGTCACCCCTAAATTTGATGGCGCAGACAAGGTTGCAACATTTACTTTTATTCAGTAAACGTTTTTTTAAAAAGTTAAGATTTGAAGAAATAATATTTTAAATAGGTGGTTTTCCTCAAAGTACAAATAAGTGGGACAAGCGCAGCCATCTACTCACCAATATACTGTTGAACTGTTCAAATAAGACACTCCACCTGAAACGTGTAGGTACTTTTTAAACTAATGAGAATAATTCACATTTGAGTGAGTCAGGTTAGTATCGTAATTGGAACGACATATTGATGAATAGATGGTGCGGAACTTGCTGCGCTCGTCCCGCAGAGGTCCACCTATAAGTTCCGCAACAATTCACTCATTTGTACTTGAATAACTTGTCACATTATGTTATTCGTTTAGTAAAGTAACATTACTAATTTCTGTTGAAAGGCAAATTCACAAAAAGTGAATAATCTTACAAATTTTGACTTTATAATAATGAGTTATTTTTTAAATACAAATAAGTGGATTATTACGGAACTCATGGGTGGACCTCTGCGGGACGAGCGCAGCGAGTTCCGCAGCCATCTACTTACCAATATACTGTTGAACTGTTCAAATAAGACACTCACCTAAAATGTACTTTTTAAACTAATGAGAATAACTCACATTTGAGTGAGTCAGGTTAGTATCGTAAATGAAACAACATATTGATGAATAGATGGTGCGGAACTTGCTGCGCTCGTCCCGCAGAGGTCCACCCATAAGTTCCGCAACAATTCACTCATTTGTACTTGAATAACTTGTCACATTATGTTATTAGTTTGGTAAAGTAACATTACTAATTTCTGTTGAAAGGCAAATTCACAAAAAGTGAATAATCTTACAAATTTTGACTTTATATAATGTTATTTTTCAAGTACAAATAAGTGGATTATTGCGGAACTTATAGATGGACCTCTGCGGGACGAGCGCAGCGAGTTCCGCAGCCATCTACTCACCAATATACTGTTGAACTGTTCAAATAAGACACTCACCTAAAACGTGTACTTTTTAAACTAATGAGAATAACTCACATTTGAGTGAGTCAGGTTAGTATCGTAATTGAAACAACATATTGATAAATAGATGGCTGCGGAACTCGCTGCGCTCGTCCCGCAGAGCACTACCCATAAGTTCCGCAACAATTCACTCATTTGTACTTGAATAACTTGTCATATTATGTTAATAGTTTAGTAATGTAACATTACTAATTTCTGTTGAAAGGCAAATTCACAAAAAGTGAATAATCTTACAAATTTTGACTTTATTTAATAAGTTATTTTTCAAGTACAAATAAGTGGATTATTGCGGAATTTATGAGTGGACTTCTGCGGGACGAGCGCAGCGAGTTCCGCAGCCATCTACTCACCAATATACTGTTGAACTGTTCAAACAAAACAATCACCTGAAACGTGTACTTTTGAAACTAATGAGAATAACTCACATTTGAGTGAGTCAGGTTAGTATCGTAATTGAAACAACATATTGATTAATAAATGGCTGCGGAACTCGCTGCGCTCGTCCCGCAGAGGACCACCCATAAGTTCTGCAACAATTCACTCATTTGTACTTGAATAACTTGTCACATTATGTTATTCGTTTAGTAAAGTAACATTACTAATTTCTGTTGAAAGGCAAATTCACAAAAAGTGAATATGTAATCTTACAAATTTTGACTTTATATAATAAGTTATTTTTTAAGTAAAAATAAGTGGATTATTGCGGAATTTATGGGTGGACCTCTGTGGGACGAGCGCAGCGAGTTTCGCAGCCATTTACTCACCAATAAATTGTTGAACTGTTCAAATAAGACACTCACCTGAAACGTGTACTTCTTAAACTAATGAGAATAACTCACATTTGAGTGAGTTAGGTTAGTATCCTAATTGAAGCAACATATTGATGAATAGATGGCTGAGGTCCACCCATAAGTTCCGCAACATTTCACTCATTTGTATTTGAATAACTTGTCACATTATGTTATTACTATTTAGTAAAGTAACATTACTAATTTCTGTCGAAAGGCAAATTCAGAAAAAGTCAATAATCTTACAAATTTTGACTTTATATAATGAGTTAT